GGGGCGGGGGTGCCGCTGGTCCCTGCCCGCCCCGGGGGTGTGCCTGGACAGGGGGGCGGCGGCCCCACCCCCGAGGCGGGGACCCGCCGGCAGTCCTCGCCGCCCCGACGGCGCGGCTGCCCGCAGACCCCCGGGCGGCGCTGGGAGCGGCCCCGGCAGCCCCTCGGAGCCCTCGCTCCCTCGTTTCCCTCTGGGCCTGAACGGCGCGGGGACAGCGGGCCGGGTCCGACGTGCACCCGCCGGTGCTACGGGCTGAGCGCCCCTGTTCTGGCGGCCCTGCGCCGCCGTTGCCCCGGTGGGGCGGTCCGGTGCCCGGCGCCCGGCTCGCCTGCGGCAAAAGCCTATTCTGCCCCCGCGCCGGGACCGCAAAGAACCGCCGTCCCCTGCCGGGCCGCCCTGTGCCTCCCGTGAGCTGCTCGCCGGGGGCAGGCCGCCAACAGCTCCGCCGCCCGGGACACCCCCACGACGGCGTGGCCGGGCCAGGGCCAGGGCAAGGCGCGGAGGTGGCCGGGGGAGCTCGGGCTAACCGGGATCGGGGCTGAGCCTTGCCCCTCCCCGGGGTTGTTTCCTCCCCAGGGACAGGGCTCCCACCTCGGAGGCCACTGAAGGTGCGTTGGAAAGCAGAGAGCAACGTAGTAACCGTCTTCCTGCGTGCGTGTCAGTGTGCTGCAGGCAGACAAATAGCTGGAAAATAATCTTGAAGTGCGGTGGTATTACATATTTCCCGCATTTTGCTGGGCCCATGCTGCAGCTGGAAGCTCTGCAGAGCAGGGGCCCTCGCTGGGTGCAGAGGCTTTGGTCTTAGGAAGATAGTCCTGGCATAAAGCAGAGAGTAGATGTCATTTCTCCTGTAGCAGAAATGAGACGTGGGCTGATCCAAGGAGGATCTCTGCAGAAGGCTGTATGAAATTACAGGATCTCTAAGCCGAGCAGTTCCTGAGTGGATGTGGAGTTTGGGTGCCTTCATTTGCTTGCGTAGCTGGGCTTCCGTGGCTGAAAGGGAGATGATTTATCTGTCAGTTGCTGTATCTTGCTCTGTTGCAAGAAAACTGTCTAGATGGCCAGAAAGACTTGAAGATGGATCCCTGCATGGAGTGGCATACAGATCCAATTGTGCTTACACGGAAGTGGAGTCTTAAAGCACACTTAAAATAACAATACCCCTAGACATCCATTGTTATTGTTATTTGTCATTGTTATCATTATTTGTTATTCATCTACTACCCTGCTGTAAAA